CAGTTTTTAAGTTCTTCAAGTTGAGGTGGAGTTTTAGCACAAGTTAAAACATTGACAATACATTTCAAGCAAGCATGGCAAGAGTATATGAGCAGCGGAAAGTAAAGCATGCAATTTGCAAGAAAGTAAAGGGATGAGATTGGAGTGTGCAAACGCAATTGGAGACATGGAGATTTTTGGAATGGTTCCGATAGGTGGTGCTATCGTACATCCACGTTGATGGAGACTTCTACCCATGAAGGGTAACGGTTGCGCGAGTCCACGGAGGGCTCCACCCACGAAGGGTCCATGAAGAAGCAACCTTGTCTATCCCATCATGGCCATCGCTCACGAAGGACTTGCCTCATTTGGGTAGATCTTCATGAAGTAGGCGATCTCCTTGCCCTTACAAACTCCTTGGTTCAACTCCACAATCTTGACGGAGGCTCCCAAGTGACACCTAACCAATCTAGGAGACATCACTCTCCAAAAGGTAATAGATGGTGTGTTGATGATGAACTCCTTGCTCTTGTGCTTCAAATGATAGTCTCCCCAACACTCAACTCTCTCTCACAGATTTGGATATGGTGGAAAGATGATTTGAGTGGAGCAACTTGGGGAAGGCTAGAGATCAAGATTCTTATGGTAGGATTGAAATGTCTTGGTCTCAACACATGATTAGGTTGTTCTCTCTCAGAAAATGAGTAGTGGAAGTGTAGGCACGTTCTGATGGCTCTCTCTCAAATGGAGAAGGGGGTGGAGGGGTATATATAGCCTCCACACAAAATCTAGCTGTTACACACATTTTACCAAACTCAGTGAGACCGAATGGTGAAACTCGGTGAGACCGATCTGGTTCAAAATGTGAATGTTAGGGTTTTCGGTGGGACCGATATGATCACTCGGTGCGACCGGTGTGCTAGGGTTAGGGCAAAACCTCATCTCGGTGAGACCGATCGCATGAACTTGGTGAGGCCGATTTCAGCAATAAGCAAACAAAGACTTGGTCAAGCAAACTCGGTGCGACCGATTGCACATCTCGGTGAGACCAAAATAATTGTAACAGGCAACAGAGAGTTTGCAAGGCCATCTGGTGAGACCGAGATCCCACTAGTGAGACTGAACAGATTAGGGTTTCTGGCAGTGGCTATGTCAATGAACTCAGTGGCGCCGGATGAATCAAATCGGTGGGGCCGAGTTTGACTTTAGGTTTTGGACATATCTGGATATGAGAAAGTGGTTGAGGGCTTTGGAGCATATCACTAAGCACTTTGAGCAAGTAGACCATTAAGCAACACCTCATCCCCTTTTAATAGTATTGGCTTTTCCTATGGACTCAATGTGATCTTGGATCAGTAAAATAGAAATGAAGAGTCTTGAGCTTTTGCCAATATTTGTCCTTAGCATCTTGAAGGGGTTCCACATCCTCTTGTTGAAAGGATCGATATGGTTGACTAGAGGGGGGGTGAATAGGCAACTAACAATTTTTTAGCTTTTCTTTACCAATTTAAACTTTGCAACAAATAGGTTGTCTAGATATGCAACTATGTGAGCAACCTATATGATGCAATAACAACTAGCACATAAGCAAGCAAGGGATACAACACAAGTAGGCTTGCAAAAGTAAAGGCACGAAATAACCAAGAGTGGAGCCGGTGGAGACGAGGATGTGTTACCAAAGTTCCTTCCTTTTAAAGGGAAGTACGTCTCTGTTAGAGCGATGTGGAGGCACAATGCTCCCCAAGAAACCACTAGAGCCACCGTATTCTCCTCACGCCCTCACACAATGCGACCGTGATTCCACTATTGGTGCCCTTGAAGGCGGCAACCGGACCCTTACGAACAAGGTTGGGGCTCTCTCCACAACTTAATTGGAGGCTCCCAACGAAACCACGAAGCTTCACCACAATGGAATATGGCTTCGAGGTGACCTCAACCGTCTAGGGTGCTCAAACACCCAAGAGTAACAAAATCCACACTAGAAAGTATGGGGGAAGCAAATATCCTTTGGTGGAAGTGTAGATCTAGGTCTCCTCCTTCAATCCCTAGCAAATCAACAAGTTTGAGTGGCTAGAGAGAGAGATCGGGCAAGAGAGCTTGAGAGCATTAATGGTGGAGTGAGAGAGGTAAGAGGTAGGAGTGGTAGGTGGAAGAACCACCTTATATAGCAACCCTAATAAATCCAACCGTTACTGCGTTTTTAGCACTGCAGCGGTACAACCGCTCCTTGTCCCAGTACAACCGGGACTCACGATGTAACGGCAGAACCCTACTAGGCGGTACAACCGGGCCACCAGGCGGTAGTACCGGTTATTAGAAAATAACCGGACCAACCGCCCAGCCACCGCACAACTACTGCACTGAAACAGTACGGAGTCACCCTTGAGGGCGG